TATGGTGATTTGTTGGCCGACAGAGGGCCGGACTGATGGTCGAGAGTGAGGACGGTCATAAAGCGTGTCTGCTGTGGTCAGATAGGCTTTGACAAACATGCTGCACACAAAGTGTCTGATAGGAATGTTTGCACACGAGAGAACATTCCATTATTTTATATTCAAAAAATGTACACATACCAGTCTTATCAAATAATACAGTGCTGTTTTTGGTCAGAGTTTTTCTAAAAGTGAGGATAGTTTGTGTTCCTGAGGAGTTTTATGACACCAGAGGTTCTTTGCAGTGAATGAAGGTTTTAATTGCTTCTCCACTGTAAAATGACACTTCTCCTTGTAGTTGTTTCACAATCTACACACAGGGCTAGGATTTTAACTTGTTCAGTGAAGCTACAGCTAATGTGGTTAAGTGTACTGATATCAACTTTTTTATACAATGTGTAGAAACATGGCATTGTTGCACTACTGGTGCACATGGCAAAGAAAAAACAAAACAAAAATATATTCAATTTATTAAATGAAAGACTAATTATTAAATAAAAATAACTAAATAAACAAATGTTCTTTATTATACTGAATGAACTATGGCATTATTAAGTTGCACCATTAGTCTACCCGTAAAATAAAATAAAATAAAAATATATTTAAATAAATAAATAATATTGATTAAAGTATGGCATTATTAATTTAAGGATTTCTAAGTAGCACCACTGGTCCACTTAAAAAAAAATAATAATAATAATACTAAAATAACTAATTTAGTTATAAATATTAATAACTAAATTATATTAATAATTAAATGTTGTTAATAAGTCTAAATATACTATGGCTTTATTATTTGCAGGTTGCACCACTTGTCCACCTGGGATAGATAGATAGATAGATAGATAGATAGATAGATAGAAAGATGATAGATAGATAGATAGATAGATAGATGATAGATAGATAGATAGATAGAAAGATGATAGACAGATAGATAGATAGATAGATAGATAGATGTACATATACATTTGATTCAATAAACTGTGGTTATTGTTTGTAAGTTGTACCTATACGGCCCACCTAGAAAAATCATCTTGCTGCTCCATAAAATTTTACAAAAAAAATGATGGACCATTTCTAATTGGGTCATGTAACCCAAATTATGCAGGGTTTGCTAGAATATGACACACAGTTTACCCACTGACACATCTAAGGTTTAGTCCCCTTTCATTTATTAGCTTCCAGGTTTCATCAATCCTTTCCACAGCTGAGAAGTCCAACTAAACGGGTTAAGAATGCATTTAACAATTAGAAAGACAAAGAAGGAAATGTTTCCACAAGCTTCTATTCAGATCAGGTGACTCTCATGTTGCATGTCTGTCTTTCCATAAGCTTAAAAGCTTGTTTCATTCATCACAGATCACATGGCAGGGGTGTGAAACCCAAAAACGTGTACAAAACTCAATCCCGTGGATTCCAGTGGGTTCTTCTGGGAAGATCTGCTTCCTCTCTCTACATGTAGGTCATGGTTTCTTTGTCTCTCCTGTTCTAGGCCGGGATACTATTTGACGTTGTCATGCCATTGATAGAAAGCTAATGTTGCCATGGAAATGTGCAACAAGTGATGGCGGTGGTGGGCTACAGTGGATGTGAAGGGAAGAGAAAGGGGCTTGTCAGTGAATTTAAGTGTAATGTTGAGGGAAGGAAGATAAATGCCTGTATGCTTTTGTTCGCTCTGGATGCATGATGGGTCAAGGCTGATTAAAAGGAGCAGCTGGCTGCATTCGGCATGTAGATGGAGCCGAACCGAAAAAGAGGGAGGGACTTACTGGAAGATGAGACGTGATTTGTTGTTCTGTTGTTTTAGGTCCCACTCAAACCTCGTGATGTAAGGCATATATCAAGGGTTTGTCTGCTAACTGCAAATATGTACGGAAATGCAAATATAAATCACTCTCAGTGCAAGTTAACACAATGCTCAGAGATGTTTAACTTTCGTTTTTTTTCTCTCTTTTTTTAAAGATTTGTTGCTACATGTGTTGTTTATAAAGTTAATAAATCTGCTTTCCCAGTGTTTAAACTTCCCAATTCTTCATTTGAACCCCATTAGCTAGTATGTATTTGGCCTGAGTCATTTTAGAAAAGCTAATAAAACAGAAAAGCAATAAACTTTTCATGAATTTTCATTTTTAATTAAATATTTTTCCTGTGTTTTTCTTTCCAGTATTCTTTCACATTCAAGAGGAGCATTTTTTCTAATTATAACAAATACACAGTTAGCTTGCCAGACATTAATATTTTATATTTTTCCAATATTTGAGTTTCTATTTTTTTTTTCTCTTCACATTTAGGAGGGCTTTTTCTAATTACATAAAAATATACACAAAAAACATTTTAAAAAATTGTGAATTAGTAAACAGATTTTTTTTTCAGTATTTGATGTTCTGGTGTGTTTTTTTAACACATTTAGGAGGGCAAATATTTTTTTTAATTATATACAAATATACCGATTTATAAAATACGCAGACTTACATGAAGATGGGACGTGATTTGTTATTCTGTTGATTTATGTTCTGCTCAGTCCTCTTGATGTTAAATATGTACAGCTTAGGACATATCAAGGGTTTGTTGGCTAAAATATCAAGGGTTTGTCTCCTGTGCATGTAAATGAAAATAGGCAACTCTTATTGCAAATGGAATCATTTTTTAAAATTTTTTACTCAGAGCTGCTTTTTTGTGCCTTGTTCTGTAACTAAGCTAATAAATCTTTTTTTTTTTTTTTAGATGAACAGGAAATTAGACCATTTTTCCCTGCATTTAACCTTCCCAATCCCTCATTTGAACCCCTTTAGCTAGCATGGGCTTGGTCTGAGTCATTTTGGAAAAGCACTAATCAGCTGTTTAGCGAGTGATTGAGCATCTGCCATGACAAAGCGACTGTTTAAAAGGTACTTCTCCACTTTTATTCACACTGCGGTTGTCTGTCGCTCTGGGTTTCCTTTGGAAAATGCCTGAACTCCTCCTCCTTCTTCTAAGGCAGTAATACTCATTTAAGCCCAAAGCAGTGCTGCGTTTTATGACCCAGGATTCATTGCTGTAACTTAAGTTACTCTATCCAGTATGGCTGCCATCTGTAGGTGTTTACAGGAGGGTCCTCGTAAAGGTCAACCGAATGGTGGAACAATAACGACAACAAAACTCAGCTGAGTTTTCTCTAGTAAATAGCATAGATGACCCTGACTGCATTAGTAACTAGTCCTCCTGTTTTCTCTCTGGTGCCCCAGTCCCCTGTTTGGCAAATAAGTCAAACTGCTGTGTGGGAGTCAATATGGCGAGGACGGCTGAGGCACGGGGCCCACATTCAGGGGACAAGTGTGTGGTCGCTGCGGTCTGGGGGCTTTTGTTGAGGCCCAGGGGAATCAGGCATTATGTGGAGAGAGGGGAATTCTGCAGGCTTTCTCAATGCCTGTCCCAAGAGACCCTGAAGCTGTTTTACGGGAAACAACTTCAAATGAAAATAAATGAATAAACTGAATTACTAATAATTTTGAAAAGGAGACTCAAAAGTTAAAAAGTAAAATAGATATAGATGAATAAATACAATAAAAAGCAATAAACTTTCTTATCACACCCTATAACAATGAAGATTTCATACATTTAATTTTTCACTATATATAATTTTGAGAGGTATTCTTTCGCATTTAGGAGAGCATGCTATTTTTGTATATATTTGTATATTTGGGGGGGTTTGCCCCCTCCACATTAAGGAGGACATATTTTACATACAAGTATGCTAGAATTTGTGCTATAATCGCCTGATACTGGCACTTTAGATTATATATTTAAAAAAATTGAAATATATATATATATATTTTTTTTCCACATTTAGGAGGGCATATATTTTGTAAATATACAGATTTGTAAATCAGTACCAGAAATTAACTTTTACATGAAGGGGCAATATTTTATTTTATTTATGTTAATATCATTATTAAGGACACTTTTTTTTTTCTTTTTTTTTACAGAATACGTAAACTTTCACTGTAGAACAATTAATGGATTATATTTTATGAGAGAATATTATTTCACTCTTTCTACTTCAAAAATATGACTTGCCGTTTCTATGTAATTATTTGAATTTACCTGCAATTTCTGAGCAAAAATTGTTTCTACACCACATTTTTTTCAGTATTGGTCTGGAATCAAATTTTTAGAAATATATCAGATGCTACAAATAAAACAAGGATATTTTGCCCCACACATTTTAAAGGCATTGATTTAGATTTTTGCCTTGATCTTGTTTGGTATTTTGCCCCACACATTTTTAAAGGCATTGATTTAGATTTTTGCCTTGATCTTGTTTGAAATGCATTACGAGACCATTCATTAGATGGCTCGTTAGTTGTGATCTCAGAGCTCTTGCTGGTGTTGATGCTGCACTCAATAGTCTTGCGTGAGCTCCTGCCTACAGTGCATACTAATAGCAGGTTTTCTTTGGCCCGCTGGTGTACACTGTGCATTAGTGATGTCACTGCTTTTGTTGTCCTGGCTGCAGGACACTAAAGCTTTAGCCTACACAAAACAAACCCGCGTTATAGAGAGGCTTTCAATGCAACAAGCAAAAAAAAAGGCTGAACAAACATCATGGTGGAAATGACTTTCACTAGTGCCAGTTTATGCATGCAGCTTACAGTGTGAGATCATCTCACCATCTGAACAAATGTTGTAGTAGTTTACAGTGTGTGTGTGTGTGTGTGTGTGTATGTGTGTGTGTGAAGTTTGTCCACTAATGGACATAAATAAATGGCATTCTGCATTGGTAGGCGTCCCGCAGCTCTTGATGAACTCTGTGTGCCAACTTTCACACTGCTTGCGCAAGAAGTCTACTTTAATAAAAGACATCCATTAGCATTACAAAGCGCAGTGCTAAAATGACGGCTGAGCTGGTGGGCTGGACATCTACGAGGGGGTCTGCAGCGCTCACCTCCTTCCCAGAGCCAGAGACACACACACACACACACACCGGGATCAAGGAGAAGGACGGTCTGGATGAGATGGATTTTGGAATGGATATTACACTTGCAAGCTGAAGGATGAAGACAGTGTAAGTGCACATAGATAATATGAGACAGATATACAGATGCAATTCCACAGCACAGTCCAAACAAGTGTATGGATGCTAGGACTCGAACTGTGGAAGATCATCACATGGCAAGCAGCACAAGGCAGCGCTACAAATACATCTGTAAGTCAAATCTCTTCTATTCAATACAAAGTCTGATACCACTACTGAAACCCTTTTTTGCATTCTTTTCTAATATCTAATGTGTTCTAACTTCTAATATGATTAATCAAATTTCATTACAAGTAGCCTTTTCACATACTAACTAGATAAATAGACATTTTATAGAAGGTCATTCACACCATCATGGAAAACACACATGACACTAAAAAAATGCAATAAACATAAATTAAACAACATAAGATGTAACGTAAACCTTAATAGCCTATACATAACTAAGAACAAAAACTATTTACAAAATCACAGTTAAACTAAATACCATTAATTGTGAAGCATCACATCAGAAATTTCACTTCCACAAACTGTACATTTAACATTATTGTACTGTATATGAACTGACCCATTAGATATAGCATAAAGCAGTGAGAAAAAAAATTAATTGTGGCATTTTTTAAGTCTTATACAGTTAAAATGACAATAACTTACGGTGTAAATTTAATATGATAGTATTTTTTTAAATCTTAAAACGTTGTTTATTAATAATTTTAAATACATGTTTAAAAAAATCCATTATTTGATTGCGGTCTCATACTTTTGACTCCCTCTTCAGTTATATCTGGTTTTGTGTTTCATACGGCTGTATCTCATGCTTTCAGATATACATTCATGTTTTACAAAAGAATAAGAAACTTAAATTTGAGGAACACAAGTGATAGTGACTTAGCATATGATAGTTTCCTGATAGTTGAGATATCGTTTTTGGTTTGCATTCTTCATGTTGTTATTTAAAGTATTTTTATTTATTTAATTTTTGTCCAGATGTGAAGATGTCCCCGGTGCTCTTTGGAGTGATTTTGGCTAATGCAGTGGTAATGTTGGAATCAGATTTGTTTACCTCATTTGTGAAATTCTTCAAGTATGATCTTATTTTGGTGTCTTTTTTCTTTATGTGTTTAACAATGAAGTTTAAAGGTATGTGTGAGCCAACTCAATCATGGTCAGACAGGGCAGAAAGAGGACTTTTGGGTGAGTTAACATTGTATTTGTGCCACTTATACACAATAATGAATCCTATAAATACACACTGTACATGAATTCTGTCATCTGATTAATACTGTATACTTTTTAGCAAATAAAAGGCTTTTTAGTTAGACGTTTTAGATGTCCACCTTCAGGTCGTGGTTAATGTGACTTTTTACTGTGAAATCTTTACTGATTTTTATAAAGTAAATGTAAGAATAACTATATATTGTTATATATTGTTAATATATTAAGATGATCACTTACTGTACTGAAGCAGCTTAGGTTTACTTGATTATATACCATATAGATCATTTTTTAAATCACGTTTATTAAATACGATCCATTAGGCTGTTAAGGAATATTAATTTCATTGTGTTGTATTGCATTATATGTTAAAGCTTTGATCAGAAAACGAATCATTTAAACATCATATCTTAGGACTGATTGGGAGATGTAGTGTGACAAACTGACATTTACATGCTATTTTATGTAACGTTTGGCCATTAATAACAACATCTGCACCAAACTGCATAATTTAGCTCCGTTTGTGCCTCTGAATAAAATTGATGAGCGCTATATTTCTCTCTATATCATATATGGGCCATAAAATCCTGATTCACAAGATCTCAACCTGTTGCAGATGTGCCAGACTCTAACCTTCTGATCCAGAAGGATGCAGTGTACCATCTTGTGAACACATCGTTCACTTTCGAACAGGCTCTGCGTTACTGCCGTGGTCAGTCCAGCGGCCTCACAACCTCAGGGGTCAAAGAGGACGAGGAGGGGGCCCGGAAGTTACTCTCTAAATTTAGCACGCAGGGCCCAGTTTGGTTTGAAACCAACAAAAAACAGAACCCGACAACTCATCTGGCCCTTCCCAAACAAAGTAAGTCTGGTTATGATGCTGGTTATAATGTCAATATGTGACCCTGGACCACAAAACCAGTCAGAATAAGTAGCACGGGTATATTTGGTGCAATAGCCAACAATACATTGTATGGGTCAAAATGATCAATGTTTCATTTATGCCAAAAATCATTATATTAAGTAAAGATCATGTTCCATCAAGATGTTTTGTACATTTCCTACCGTAAATAGGCCCCTATATCAAAACGTCATTTTTTATTAGTAATAAGCCTATATGCATTGCTAAGAACTTCATTTGGACAACTTTAAAGGCGATTTTTTTCAATATTTTGATTTTTTGCACCCTCATATTCCAGATTTTCAAATAGTTGTATCTCAGCCTTAATATTGTCCTATCCTAACAAACCATACATCATTGGAAAGCTTATTTATTCAGCTTTCAGATGATGCATAAATCTCAATTTCAAAAAAATTACCCTTATTGACTGGTTTTGTGGTGCAGGGTCTCATATCTCTGAGAAATTAAGTCAATATCTCTGTAACTCCACAGAAACGATCCTCAGAGGATTATCTTTCACGTCTAAGGACGGCTATGCGCGTGTGAACGCGTCTTTCCCGCCGCTGTCCGCGGTGAGCGTTTGCTTGCGCGTGCAGTGGGACCCGCGGCGAAATGACGTGTCCACGGTGTTCTCGTACGCAGCGCGCGCTTTCGTCAATGAATTCCAGCTGCGCGGAAAGACAGACGACCGAAAAGTCCGCCTAGCGCTTCTCATTCAAGGACAGCATCATCGGCACAAAGCCGAGCTGCCCGTTGATGGAGAGTGGCACCATGTTTGCGTCACGTGGCGCTCGAGCGATGGATTTTGGGCCATTTACGTGGACGGGGAAACGGGAGATTCAGAGAAAGGGAAAGCTCGGGGAAATGCAAAGGATATCCACGGAGACGGGATATTTATATTGGGCCAAGACCAGGATACTTTTGGTGGGAATTTCACGGAGCCGTATTTTGGAAACTTGACTGATCTGAGCGTCTGGGGTGAAGCTCTGGAGTTAGAACAGGTGACGGCGCTGCACACCTGCTCACAGCTGACCAATCACAGAGCCTTATTCAGATGGCAGGACTGGAGCCTCACTGTCCATCAGTCTGTGCAGAATGTGTCTGCTACACTCACCTGTCCAGGTTAGCTTCATTTACCCGTCCATCTGTCAAAAGATCAGAATATCCTACAAACAACAACAACAACAATTATTATTATTATTATTGTTGTTGTTGTTGTTGTTGTTGTTATAAAATATGCTTTAACAAATACTAAAACATTTTTAGCACTTTTTAATATTTAATATTTTTATAATATTTATAATTGTAACATTTAATATTTTAATTTAATATTTGTTAAACATCAGAGGATCAAAGCAGGATCTGTAAACAAATAATAATAAATGGTTATATAACAGTCTTTATTCTAATATTTAATAGATCGATAGATAGACAGACAGACAGACTGACAGAGAGATAGATGATATATAATTTTTAGATTTAATTTAATATTTAAAACATACTTCTATTAAAGGTAATATTACTATCATATTTGCTATTTAATTGAATTATAAGTGTTCTAAATTGTAGCCTGTATTATTATTATTATTATTAATTTTATTATAACATGTACTTCAGTTTTTCACTATTTATTTTTTCGTTATATATGTAATATTTAAAAAATAAAGTATATGTTAATAATAATAATAATAATTGAATTATTATTATTATTAGCTTACAGATAGGATCTATTGGATCTTCTGATATTTAACAAAATTAAAATTATCTTATTAAATAGATAAATGTAATTCAAAGAATACATTTAAAGCTACACTTAAGAACATATACTTCAGTTTTTCAATATTTACATATAAAAATAAATAAAGTGTATGTTTATAATAATAATGATGATAATGATTGTTGTTATTATTATTATTTGTTTACAGATCCTACTTGGATCTTCTGATATGATTACTTCAGTGTTTATTTCAATATTTAAAACAAATTTATTTTTGTTAAATATTTTGGCTAAAATTAAAAATGTGCTATTTAAAGGTGTTTCTAAGTGTTGTTAGGTGTCAAAGCAGCTTTAAAATGTCTACTTTTAATTACATTTAATATTATATATTTAGTGTTATTATACGTGTTTTGTTGTTGTTTCAGCTGAAATGTAAAAAAAAACGAATTCATTTTAATTTCCAATATGCCTGTTTTTGCAGGGTCCCTGAAGTCAACAGAGAAACAGGAAGAGGAATGTGAGGTTTTTAATGGCTGGCCTGACCGTCAGCCTCAGTACAGCACTGCCCCCTGCACACACACGCTCCCCTTCATCTGCAGAGTCAGCAAAGGTGTGTGTGAGAGAGCATGCACAGTCAAACCAAAAATTATTCAGACACCAGATATAATTTTTGACCTTTAATTTCTTTACAAATCTGTGCTTTGTAGGTAGTGAAGGGCCCAATGGCAGTCATGCAGACTGTAGAGCGCATGGTGAGCAACCTTAACTCTCTGCTGACGGACGACACAGACAGTGTGCAGATACACAGTGACAATATCAGTAAGTTACACAGACATACACAGACTGACATGCACTCAAATTTAAAGCAAAGTCAAAAAACTGTGGTCCTGTGTTGCAGAGCTGCAGGTCCAGCAGAAGCTGCTGTCTGAAGGTTCTCACGTTTCTGTGTTTTGTGGACTGGGTGCGGGAAATCGTGACTGCATCTCTGTCCCAGCTGAAAACATGAAGGAACTACAGAACAATGGTATGGATATTTAAAACCAGGAGATAAAGTTTCACTGTGTATAACGTTTCGATTGTCATAGTGAAACCAGGATGTGTTTTTTCCTTCCCTTATTTATTTTTTATATGTTGTGCTTGTTTAGGCTTCAAAAAGGTGACTTTACTGAATACATGGTACAGCTCTGTGAAATGTCTCTCAGAGAGAGAGGAGAACATTACCCTTTCTCCTATAGTCAGTGATGGATCTCATAGGTAAGATATGAATGCAGTATGCAGATTCATTGAATTCAATCAGATCATCTGTGTCTGCGCTACATGAACACACTCTTAAAAATAAAGGTTCCATAATGGCTTTTCACAGCCATGCCAAAGAGCAACCATTTTTTTGTTTTCCGACTGTTTCAGTGAACAGTTCCTAAAAGAACCATTGTTTTCTATTCTAAAGAACCTTTTGTGGAATGGAAAGATTCCATTGATGTTAAAGGTTCTTCATGGAACCATAGATGCCAATAATGAACATTTATTTTTAAATGTATGCGATACTTACTGCAGGAATATCCCTTATTACAGAATTTGCATATTTCTTGTTATTACATATTTCAGTGTAATTACAACATGAATGCGTTGTCATATTGCTGATGGTGTGACTGTGTGAATCAGGCATGTGCGAACAGTCTTGGGCTCGTCGGTCATCTCGAGTACAGTGCTGGCAGATGGACAGCCGATCAGCATGGCCATAAACTTCACACTCCAGCACAAGATTCAGGTACAAGAAATAGAATGTATCATTTTCATTGTGATAGCATATTTTCTAAAACTATGGACTCATTTCTGAAATTAGCTTTGGCTAAAGTCAGTGTAGAGATAATCCGAAAAGTCTGGGATGCCAGTGAAACCATTAAAAAAATATATATTTTTAGCATCTTTCAGAGTTATAGGAATCATTTAACCACATGTGAGTTCCTTACAAACCTATATGACTTCCTTTTTTCCATGGAACAGGTGATTTTGCTGAATGTCAAAGCTGCTCTTTTGCATAAAGTTTAGTCTCAAGAGGCATTCAAGCGCCAAAAGGACAAAAAGCAGTGTAAAAGTACCTTAACAGTAGTCAGTATATGCATGTTATATTCCAAGTCGTCTGAAGACGTAGATTGACTTTTAAATTTACACTGCTGTTCAAACGTTTGGGAGCAAAAGAAGTATCTTATGCTGACCAAGGCTGCATTTATTTGATCAAAAATACAGTAAAACAGTAATAATGTGAAATATTATTACAATTTAAAAGACCTGCTTTTTGTTTTTAAAAATAATTAAAGTGTAATTTATATTCCTGTGATGCAAAGCTGAATTTTAGCATCATTATGCCAGTCTTCAGAGTCACAATGATCCTTCAGAAATCATTTTAATATGCTGATTTGCTGCTCAAGAAAAATGTCTGTTTATCAATTTTGAAAACCGTTTTTGCGGCTTAATATCTTTGTGAAAATATTTGTTGTTGTTGTTATTTTCTTGAACTAGAAATCTTTTGTAACATTATAAATGTCTTTGCTGTCACTTTTGATCAATTGAATGCATCCTTGCTGAATAAAACCTCAAACTTCTGAACAGTAGTATGATCTGTCATTTTAGGAGAACTGATCAGGATTGAGTTTACTGTGTTGATGGACAGTCATGCCTGACTTCAACTACAGTGCTTCTCTTTTTCACTCTCTAGAACAGTTCACGGAATTTGACACCTATCTGTTCTTTTTGGGATTTTGACCTGATGTAAGCAATTTTCATGTACTTATTTATTTAATCTGCAAATTCTCAAATGCTCTGGTTTGTGTTTTGTATAACTGATGAAATCTTGTTTTGTCTTGACGCCTCAGGCCAGAGGGGGGAGGGTGGTCAACAAAGGGCTGCACCTCTATTTCCACTAAGAATAACTCAACTTCCTGTTCCTGTAACCACACTACCAACTTTGCCTTGCTGTTACAGATCTCCGAAGTTCAGGTACGGAGGTTTTTAATAAGCAGTACCTGTAACAGATAAAAAAAAGCATAAAGCATAATAGCATAAAGACTGGATACTGTACATGAGTTTGACCAATAATTATTTACTTTGCTTATGAAAAACAGGCTTATGTTGTCGCAAACAGTGTTATTTTAGTATTATATTTGTACTAATATAGTATGTGTTCATTCATATTTTCATATTTTGGATTATCTTTTATTTTTATATTTTAGGATTAGCTTATTATTTTTATTTCAGCTTCAGTTTTAGTCATTTTTGTACATCACCTTAAACATATTTCTAGTTGCCAAGGCAGCATATCTAATTTTCAAGATTAGGTTTTTATAAAATATAAATCTAATATATATCTTACTCTAATATTGATATTTTATTTGATTTCACCTTTATTTAAATTGCCAAAAATTATTTTCAGTTATAATCATGACATGAGGAAACAG